TGTCGGGTGTAGGCAGTAACTACCAAAGACAAATGGGTGAGGTCGCGCAAAATCCCTAGATCAATCAGAGTTAGACATTAACACCGTTGGATGCCGGCCCAGTGGTCCGATGGTAAGGCGTTCGCCTACAATGCCAAAGGTCCCGGGTTCGAATCCTGCGAGGAGCAGGAGTCGTGGATGCGCACTGCTGAGGAGTCCCATACTAGGACGAAACGGCCGTCCAGTGCTTCCAGGTTTCTAATGGTGGTCTAACAATGATGATTGATTAATGATTTCAAATGTGTCAAAACGCAAACCTCCAAAACTGTGCCCCAATATAATGTAACAGTGCTCACTAGTGACTAGCTTCGTGAGGAAATTCTCGGAGTTCTAGTTGAGAAGACGTGACCAGTGGAGTTCAACCCTGTCGGGTGTAGGCAGTAACTACCAAAGACAAATGGGTGAGGTCGCGCAAAATCCCTAGATCAATCAGAGTTAGACATTAACACCGTTGGATGCCGGCCCAGTGGTCCGATGGTAAGGCGTTCGCCTACAATGCCAAAGGTCCCGGGTTCGAATCCTGCGAGGAGCAGGAGTCGTGGATGCGCACTGCTGAGGAGTCCCATACTAGGACGAAACGGCCGTCCAGTGCTTCCAGGTTTCTAATGGTGGTCTAACAATGATGATTGATTAATGATTTCAAATGTGTTAGTAAACGTTAGGAAGAGGAGTGAAAGGTCCGTTGAGAAACTCAACCAGTTTTCATGCACACTTTTTATCATGGTACAAAATTTCCTATTCTGCAGGTAGTTTCGGGGTCAAAATATAATTTGGTCAATGAAGCCCGTCATGAACCTCACTATTAGGTACATATAAAATACTGTGTCTAAATCTTCCGCGAACTTGTTGAAATCGGTATTTTTGGTTCACATCATATTCCGTAACATGCTAAAAGATGGTTGGAGTTATGAAACCTATCTTTCCGATATGTGTTCGGCTTCATGAAATACCTTCTTTTCACGTGTTCATTTGGCTGGAACTAGATTTGGGAGAGGTTCCACGCTTGTAGTTTCCTGGCCTCATTGACCCATAAAGTTGACTTCGAAAAGTTTAGTTATCTCTATGTCGACACGATACTCTTTGTTAGGTCGTTCGAAAACTCACGCACTCAGATTTGTAGGCTTCCCTTTTGTCATGAACCCATAGATAAACAAAGGATTTGCCTATATTTCGGCCACTAGCTTCGTCTGGAAACATTTAGTATCGCTTCGAGCTTTAGTTCTGGATCAAATTCTGAATGCCAAGTATGAGTTACCATAAGTTTGTCAGAGATTTTTGCTTGTGTCACGCCTTCGTTTTGGTCTGCAGTAAGCATCACGTTACTTTATAAAACAAGGATATTCGATTTCTAACCTGCTTGCTTTACCTGTGGCACATTTTGAGGATAATATTCTGAATTGTGTCCTCCAGTGTCTATCTACTGTTCGACTGTAACATGCTCGTGTAGAATATGCTGGTCCAGATGATGACCTAGGTCAACGAACATCGATATGTTTTGCTTAGCTTTACTGACTTTCTCTTATTGATCGGCTGTAACAATATATGGTGTGACTCGAGAGATCATTATTCGAAGTGTACGTGATCCGAATTGTCTTGCTTACGTGCTTTCGATTTCCGGATTCCACAGTCATAGTATTTTAGGGTTAGGGTTCGTTAGGTTCTAGAGTCAGTAAGATTTCTCCTACAAAATATATTGAATACAAATGAAAGGGGTTTACTTTAGGCTGCTTACTGCCCCCCTGGACGAATTGCACAGTTTGGCCGAAGTACTATGCATTCAATGCATTACACAGCATGTCCCACTGAACTTTATCAAAAACAGCCCTACTTTCTAGTAACCAACTCTCCGACAATGGAAAATAAAATAGTATATTTATGGTGGAAATAATCAAAAGGGTTATTTTTTAAGGAGATGTGACATACTGGGAGGGGTAGTTACGGACAAGCTTAGCACATAAGTGACGTTAAAAACATATATAAAATGAGTACGTACTTCTTTACTTTATAATAATAGTATATTTATTCTCAAATAACAGTATGTTACAATAGTCATGCGACGTTATCGCAGTTAGAATAAGTATAAGAGTCAGTTTCTGATGACACATATACACCGTCCCATTGACAGGAACAGCTTAATACAGCCGCATTTCCAAAAGGTGAGTATAAATATGAAAGGTGCATAGTTGGTTTCTTGGGTGGTGTAGAATCTTTTTTGAATGTTTTGTTTTTTGAAAAATCCCTCCATGTTTATATATTTTTGTTATGACATGACGGACTCTTTCTGTTGACATTTTGGTATTTTATTTGATTCCATTTTGAGATTTTATCATTGCATATTGTTATTATTTCTATATTTTGTACTTATATTGAAGTTTTTATGTTTGCTTCTGAACTGTACACATGTTGATTAAATTTGATATAATATGGCTACAGCCACATTTTTGGAATAGATATCGTCGCAGTATACTAGCTTCACCTAGTCTTTGGAACTCGGAAACTCATCAGAGTAATTTCGAATTGGAAGACGTAAAAATCGTTAGGTAACGTTTGTATTTCCATTTCTTTTATGTAAATAGACCACTTTCTCCTAGAATTATTGTGTTTTGATATTCGAATACGGGAAAGTGCGTTCAGCATACGTCTATTGGAATCGAATTGAACTGCTACGGTAGAAAATCCAACTGCAGGTGGTGCAGAGTTAAGAATATGGAATTCGGGTGCGAGTGAGTTCACGCATGCAGAGGTGTCAGTGCAACTGAGAGCCTCATTATGAAGCCGTAAAAACTCACGTAACCCACTTGCCATGCGCATTCCTGAGAGAATCCTATTCAATATCAGTGCATACTTAGTGAGGAAGACGTTTTATCGAGTTTTTGATTTATACTTCTCAAGTTTGTCCATAGATACTTTATCTCGAAGTTTCTGTATACATGGGCCTTGGATAAGGACTACACTACAAGATGAGTATGTGAGCTTGTGCAGGAGCTTGAAGTAAAGGATTAGACTGGACTTAAGCCTTCTTTTCCATAATGTATCAAGTCCAAATTCATGACATCGAGTTGGATAGTCACTGAGTGAACTATCATTTAGGACTTTTCGAGTAAAATTTCTTTGTGTTCATTTTAGCTTCAATATATCAGACAGGAGCAAGTACTTCAACCTTCCTGCTCCATCTTGATCTTGTACAAGACCAGAACAAATACCCACTACAATGACCTGACTGACTTTTCATTTTCATATATCCATAGGGTAAAGTTTAAGCCTGAAAAATGTTAAGTTCTTATTTACACACCTAATCTCCTGTTTCATTTATTTTTGCCACAAAAATAAACCTGATAGACCAATACATATATTTATCATCATATTTTTACATACTTTACGTGTTGCACTTATTGTCCGCCGTTGATGAATCATCTATAATAATAAGAATAACTTATTCTCAAAAAACTTCATGTTACAGGAGACATGCCGATTTAAAGGCAGCATCAAAAAGGCGGAATCGCTAACAAATATTCTGAAAATTTTTTCAGTCAGTTAAATATCTCACAAGATACACTAGCTTTTTATAGTGGGCTAATACTTTTGCATAAAATTGTGGATAATGTTTCAGAATCTAGAATGTTACATTTGATAGTTCATTTGAGTTATGACGGTAAATCCAGCTCTGAATATAACAAGAAGTGATGATTTACTAATCTGCGGACTGAAGTGGACAGATGGCTCATTAACGTCGATGGCAAAGGGATGCTAGGTGATATGTCAACTAATTCATTGGAAGCTCTAACAGAATTAGCCACACATGACTCATCGACAGGCTCAGGCTGATGGACTGGATTGAGTCATCTAAATCACTGAGTTTTTCAGGTCATGGTAAAATCTTCACATTCAGCGATTGTACAAGAACTTACGGGAATCGTTCAGCATATAATTTATATGAACAGGTCTCCTCAGGAAGTACTGTCTAATTCAGATTGCTCTCACGGTTACGGACGGAATAGGAGTAGCTTTGACCTACAGTACTGGACTGTGGAGAGAAGTTTGCAAGCCCGATGGTAGGCTAAAAGCGCTGGGTATGAATGAGCTTTACGGATGAACAATTGACTTATTGTCACATTTTCAAGGTGTCTTAGATAAGCTAGATATGTGATAAGCGAAGTAAGTAGTGCATAAGCGCACAAGTAAAAACAAAATGTTTATGAGAGAATAACTGCAAGGTAAAAAGACGTATGAATTGTGAAATGAGAAGAATGAGTGCATTAATTTCTCCAAAAGTAAGAACAGCCTGTGTAGGCTAGCCATGTTGGCACACAGTACAGTATCTTGGTACCACGAGGTCTAAAATTTTGCATTACTTATGGAAAATTTCCGTACAGAACAAATCTGAAGCTGACATTTGAAAAATCTAACAGCTCAACTGTTCTAAATTTAGCAATGGAAGGTGGACCATAAAATTCATCTCTTTTGATAAACGCCTGTGATCATTGAAAATCTAGCTTTAACAACATATGCGATCAGGACGCAACTTTATAGTGATCAGTATTTTTTCTAAATGCAATACCGAAGCTGGGCTTTAGGAATATCCATTAATCTTTGCGAGTAGTGAAGTCCTGAAATTCGCCAACGTCTAAAGTGGTCCAAATAACTTTCCAATAGTCCATCAGTAAGCCTGATACATTTTGAAAACTTTTCAAAACTTAGTGTCACTTCTCTTCTGTTTTTTCAATATTCGTAGATCTTTATATGGAGGTAAAATCATCTATTCCGTCCACAAATATGTATGTCATTTGAACTTGCTCAAAATATATTAACAGCCTCCTAGTATAGGCACATGAGATGTAAACTGAAATCAAAAAAGAGTTAGTTATGGACTGTATTACCATTGAGCTTAAAGCGTTCTTTCTACCTGATTTGAAATGTGAGCCTTTTTCCATTTTGAAAACAGAAATCACTTGGTTTAGCGCATCAGTGGAGTTGGTGTGCTACACTAAGATGCACGATCATAGTTCTGTTTTCCTGGTACCAGGTACACTCACTCATAGTTATCATATACACTCATAGAAAATCTTATCTGTCAACCTTCAAAGTGTTCTTTAGTTACGCTAAAACATCCAAGATCAGGTAGTGTTTAGTTTTTTTGCATCGAATTGTCCCTCGAAATCTTATTAGATGAACCGTGTTTATATCTGTGGGATAATCAATCTTTGGAGCTTTTGGAAATCCAGAAAATAAACGGAAAATGTCGTTCCTGGATTATCGGTGACCATGTCAAGTCTGGTATAGTTATCCTTATATTTGTAATATGAAGATGGTGGAATGCATGTTTGTAGTCGAATTGATCCCCTTTTCTTCTTCATATCATTCTGCAGAAAAAAAGTTTGTCTTTTGACATTTAACAGCTATATTCATAGGACAAATTCATTTCATGGGAGGTTATTTTGAGTGAACTTGGTGAATGTTTCCATGTTCTCAGCAACATTCCTGACATGGAACATCGTCTCGAGGAAATTTGCGATAAAAAATGTGAGTCTTCTCTTGATCCTAGCGTTTTTCGGTTCTGGTGAAGTACTATTACCAATCTGAGACTCTCGTTGTGACAATCCGCATGTAATCATATCACTTATTATCTTTTATGAGTAGATAGTAAAGCTAAGATCGAAAGTTAAGCTTCATAAATTATTCTTCACTTCTCCAGTTAGGATCACAGAAGACGTTAATGATAAGTCCTAATATTTTCACAAAATATTTAACGAAGGTTCAATGGAATTTTGTTAGCAAATATTTTTCACAGTTTTATTGATGATTGGATAGTCTCACTTAAAGTGCCCTGCTTTTTTTGGACCGTGAATTATTGATATGTTATGAAACTTGTTCTCTACAGATCTTATAGACTAGTTATTGCACATGGTATTTCATGCACCAGAATCATGTCATTTATTAGAATCTTTGTAACTGTATCATTTACAGATGTTTCTTATAAGCTTGTTCGCTGTGTGCTAGTCATTTTGTTTTATCCGCAGCTGGCTTGCTTCCATCCAACACCACTCGTCCAGGTAGTCGGTGCTTGGAAATACGTAACATAATTTCAGTGGGTTTCTTAAATTTCATTTCATGTCACTTATGCTTTAAGCTCTTTCTTTCCCTGGTCGTTTTATTCGTCGTGAACTCACTCTCGCGTTTATTTAGATTTTAGTCACAGCACGCGTTCTATTATTTTTTCCGTCTGCTACAGAGCGATTGATTGCAAGTTGAGATACCCATGTTTGTGAGGTCTAGTTATTCTACATAGCTGTATAAATCAGATTATCTGCATTCTAGTAGTTAAAGACGCATGGTTTAAAGAAAACCACCCGTTCATTTTTCGCTTGTTTTTATTAATAACACGACGAGATCTCAGCATGGATACAGAATGCTCGATTGGCTTTTGCCAACTTGCGTCACCTATGGCGTAGGCGAGATATCCGTTTTCTGACTAAAGGACGAGTATACTGCGCAGCAGTTCACTCTGTCCTGCTATACGAATGCGAAAAATGTCTGGTGAGATTGGATTTGAAATGATAGTTGCGTCTCTGTGCTGACGTTGTATGGCAACTTGAACTGATGTACGTACGTACGAAGTTCTACGTTGTAACTTACTAACTGACTGACTTTCATTGATGAACGATGCGATAATAAAACGTAGTAACGTTTGCAGCTCAAATCTCTAATGTGCAGTCAGTCTGTAATCGAAAGTATGAGCCGTACTACATATAATGATCAACCAAAAATATGCGTCACATAGTTTTCGGAAATCAAGCGTTGTTTTAATTGTAAACTGAAGTGTAATTATAAAGTAAATCAGGGGAGCAGTTTGAATTCATAGATTTTTTACTGATTATACATATATATCTTGATTCTTTGTTTCTCAAAGGTATTGGTGACTTATCTGTTTATCGGTACAATGAATCTCGGGCGATCGAGTGGTTGTCCAATAAAGTATCTGCTGTTTATAAAGCTTCCTTCAACTGCAAGGATCCTGTTTTAATTTCTCAGTTTCGATTAATTGCTTCTAATTCGTCTTCTAATCATACTGATGAGATAAATGATGATTCAAGAGTTCCGGAATTTACCTCGAGTAAGACGTTTTCAAAATTTTCATTGTTTGGTCCATAAATAATTTTTTAAGAAATTGTTAACTATAGTTTGGAGCTCCTTTTCTCTATTTTTCTCTCAATCAATTCTCTCCCGACCAAATATACGATAATCAACAAGGAAATCAAACCTCCTTCAGTGTATCCATGCCTAGACGTTACTTAATTCAAATTCGTTACTACAGGTCATACAGCTAACTAGTATTCTGTTTCAGTTCAATCGAACTGACCGGTTTAATAGACAAAGCTCCTCAAAGTATGTTTGTTACTAGTTAACAATCTTTAAAAATCTCGGTAAATTGTGTTATTTAGTGAGGTTGATGAATATACATCTCTAACCAACAACTTATATTTTTCAAATTCATGGCTGCGTGTGACTAATCCAACAAGACTACTTCGAAACCAATTATCTGAACGTACAAATACCAAGTTCATTGGCAAAATTAGAGCACTACGAAATTTGAGTAGAATTAAGCTAACGATTTGTTGTTCACGGTAACTTCAGTCACTGAGTTCTCTGAACTAGTTGGTTTATTTTCGTAAGTTTCTCATTCCTTTTCCAGAGATATTATCGGCAAAAGCTTCTGATAAGAATGAACTATTAAAATTTCACGAGTAACTGATAACTTCTGTCAAATTGATAAAAATAAATGAAAGCTTTACAACATATTGAACGTATATAACACCATATCTCTTCAGTATTCCCAACCTACGGTGTTCACCAGCGTTAATCAATATCTCTTTGATATTTAATTTTCCCTGTAGATGATAACGTGGAAATAAATGTAAAAATTAGTTTTTTTTAGTGTAGAGCTGTTATATAGAGAAATACTTATAAGCTCAGAGTATATAGATGGTATTGTCGTAATATGCTGTAACATTAAGGCTCCTCAAACGGGTCCAGTGAATGGTATGTACTTTACACGATCACTGTGGAACAATACTTCTAAAAGACTGTTTGGGGTTTCGTTCTCTCTGAGTTGGATGTTTTGGTTGTGGAGCTTACTGAAGACAACATCATCGGCACAAACTTCAGGTACAGAAGTGAAGTATTCAAATTTCTCCACGTATGACTCGTAGTTTATTCTGTTGACCTCGATATTGATTGGTTGTCATTGAGCTCATACCTGTCATTGTTTGCACCTCCATTTTGGTTGTATCTCCCTTTGATCTATTTCTTCATCCTATGTTTGCCTATGATTTTTTCGATTGGTTGATAAGTTAGGTCAATCTTTATGTGTTTGTTGATTGCTGATTGACGTAATTGCCAAGCTTCCAAAAAATTCTCTAGTGTTCTTTGTGCTCCCACTATCCAGTACTTCCACATTGTTCCAATCGAATGTATGTCTATAGTTGTTTATATGTATTTATATAAGAGAAGAATTGTTATGGTGTTTGACTGCTGATTGCTGTCCCGACCGTAGCTGCTACCTTGACGTGGTTGTCGGGCTTGCCTATCATGATGACCCAACCTAGCTATACTGGCTGGAACATATGTTCCTGCAGGTCCTACCATTCCAGGCAGGTCGATTGGAGAACGATGAGACTAAAAGCAGCTACCCAAGTTCTGAGGGCGAAGTCGTACTGCTGACTGCAGAGGGCTGTGACAGCAGTAAGGTGTTTCCCTTGGACAACCAGCTTCTGCAGCGATGCTGCTCCCCTACAAGGAAGGAAGGGGTTGGAGAAGGTCGACTCTAAAAATGTCACACCTCATCTTACCCCACGGATTTCCGTCTTCAGCGGTAAGGGTACCCACCAAGGGCATTTAAGAGCGGAGCTAATCCTCAAAAAACCTTTCATAAAAATGCCGTGCGTGATCGGCCTCAAACAGTTGTCCCTTGGGCTCTGCGGTCACGCACCAGCACTAATCCATCTTCCTTTTCAGGTCCCTCAAGAAACAACCTTCCACGGTGTGGGCAGCCAGGAAGTGACAACCGCCCTCATACCCGTAACAACACGAGAGACCAAATTGGTCGAAATCAAATCCTTCCTACACCCCCTAGTATCTCTAAGTAGAATGAAAGTCAACAAATAGGCATTTGGTTAAGCGCAAAATAATTCGTGTTGGACCTTATACACCTGTTCACACAAGAATAATCTTACTTAGATATATATATGCTCTTTTTGTGTTTAGATTGTGTGAAATAATCTCATTTTATGAGCTAAAATTACCTGTTTGTTCTCACTTTCATTGTTTACTTTCATAATAAATTCGATCATAGATGTTTAAGAACCACTGCTCGTATATCGTGCGACAACCGAGTGAGCAATGCTGTCGTTAGGAAACGAGTACTAGGTAAGTATGGCAGATCAATAGATGAAGTGGTGAAACTTAATCAGTTGAGGTGGTTGGGACATGTGTTACGTATGGCTAACCACCGACTGCCTCGACAAGCTATGTTTTGTGGTGTAGGAGTAGGTTGGAAGAGAGGTGTGGGGCGGCCAGACCAAAACATGGCAGAAATTCATGAAGTCACTGACAGGTGGACTGAGTCATGTTGATAGATGTAGACTACCTGGTTGGGGTCCACGAGACGAAAGTCATCAATGGTTAGAGAACTTGAACGACATGTCTCAAAATCGTTCGCAATGGCGCAAGAGCATCCATTCTTTGAGCTCTCTCAAATCCTGATCTTCTGGATTTGTCAGCACCTCTACCTTTGTCTTTCTAACTTTATCTCACTGAATTATACTTCTTGAATAATATCTTCAAACCATAGTCTTCTTCATTACCTTTAATACCTCTACTATCTTTATCACTATGGGATTTGATTTGACATTTGCGTCTCTGTGTGCTAATGTGGTATGGCAACATTAACTTATGTGTATACGTACGTAGTTCTACGTTGCAACTGACTGACTGACTTATAAATTCTTTGTTATGTCAATATATATTGAATTACCAATATACACTTCATTATTTTGTTTTTTATACCCTATAAATAGGCTCCAAAGAAGCTCAATTATTATCAACCAACCAATTGTCACATGAAGCATGTTTAAATTTAGCCTATCAGATGGTGGCTGATTATCTTCCACCAGATTTATGGAACAAACTCCGAGAAAAGATTGGATTAAAAACTACCACTGTTGAACTCAATTTATCAGAGAACGGTTCTGCTGTAATCATCTCTGAAAATATAGACCCCATTGATAACCGATCATTGGAGAAGTCGTTTGATGTTAGTTGATTTTTTAAACGATTATTTTGTTACGCCTGCACGTAAACACGTCAACTTGATATACTTGAACTATTACGAGTTTACTCAGTCGGAAAATGAGAGCGAGGATCGAGAATCCGGTGACACGACATGCTACTCAAATCCAATTATCCCAGCCCCCCATAATGAAATAAAATAAGACTTGATATGAAGTAGAACATGTATTCTACAAGCATCCAGAAAGTACGAGGTCCGAATCCGGAAGAGATTCAGGATCCCGGACTAGCGATCCGGGACCGGGTCCTGGTCCTGGTCATAAAACGTTACAGATAATGCGTATTTATACATTTTGGTCGAATAGGAAACAGCATCGAATTCTGTGACATTGACAGTTAAGACGACGAATAGGATGCAATATTTGAAGTGACATTGATAGTCAGTACAACCAATAAGAAACATCATTGGATCATGTGACATTGATATCTAGGATGACCATAAAATTGACCAGTAGGAATTAACCAATAGGAATAGACCAATAATTCTCTTACGATATTGGATGAATATCCTAACATATTTGTTGTTCATTGGGCTCTGGAACCTAACTCAAAATCTGAGTTTACTTCACTTTCGACAGTATTATAGTTAGACCACCATTACGAACCTGGAAGCAATGGACCGCCTTTCCGTCCGCGCGCATCCACGACTTCTGTTATTCGCAGAATTCGAACCCGAGACCTTCGGTCTTGTGCGCGAACACATAACCTCTGGACCATTGGACTGGCATTCAACGGGGTTAATGTCTAACTCTAATCAATCTAAGGTTCTGCGCGACCCCACCCATTTGTCTTCGATAGTTACTGCCTATACCCGACAAGTCTTCGCACTAGAACTCCGTGAAATTTCCTCACGAAGCTAGTCACTAGTGAATGAATACATTGTACAATTTTTTCAATTAGAATAATGGAAATGATTGATTCCTGATTTAAATGTTTACAAACAATGATCTCTATGACTGTGATTGATCATAGTGCCTGTAACTTCACGATTGAACACCTAACTGACTGCTCATTGGTTAAATAATCAACGAAATCTCAATAATGTTTTATTGGTCCAAATCGTGCTGCATTTTATTGGGGATAGTCTACAGTTGGTAGTAACAATGATTAATGACTGTAGTGAATATTTACAAACTACTAAGGTAACTAAGAAGTATATTCAGTTATCCTCTCATCTGACATTAGATGATTGTACCAACTTAAGTTAGGTAGGACAATAGCCAAGAGTTGGTGGACCGAATACAAAACCAACCAGTCACATCCTTAGGTACTGGTCTGGGTTATGTAAAGGAAATGTAAACCTTTTAAATCCATTTCACGAGGTCTTTTTAGAGATTATCGATTCAAAGACTAGCTCACGTATATCACCGATGTATTCACTGTTCATACCTTTCTGTCAGACAGACAGACAGATGAAACGTAGAACTTTGTACGGAAGTACATCAGTTCATGTCACCATACCACATTAGCACACAGCGAGATGTAATTGTCAATTCAAATCCAATAGTAGTAGAGGTAGTAAAGGTATTAGAAGTAATCGGAGAGGTTAGGATTAGAAGATATTATTCAAGAAGTATGATTCAATGAGAAAAGTATAGAAAATCGAAACCAGAAGGGGTTGAAGAATCCAGAAGATTAGGATTTGAGAGAACACAAAGAATCAATGCACATGTGCCATTGCAAACGGTTTTGAGCCATGTCATTCAGGGTCTCTAACCATCGATTATTATCATCTCGCAGACCCCAACCAGGTAGTCGACAACTACCAACATGACTCAGTCTGTAGTGAATGAGAACACAGGTGGAGGCAACCGAATTGTATTTAACGAAAATTACAGAGTTACTCAGTAAAATCGGAAAACCATATCGTAAATCGTTCATTTGCAAAAGATCAGTTCATCATATCGAACTGGACTGTTCCTGTTGCCAAACATCAATCCATTGTCACTCTTCATGCGTTTCATACAAATTCCATTGTTTTCTGACTCTTCCTTTCTTGATCTTCCCCCCATATTATGCTACCAGACTTTACGTTGACACTCACGCTATATACTACTTATAAGTAGTTCGCACCACAGCACCACAAGTCCACTTGTCAATGACTTCATGGATTGCTGCGATGTTATGGTTTGGCCGCCCCTAACTTTCTTCCAACCTACTCCTACACTACAAAACAAAGCTCGTCGAGGTAGTCGGTGGTTGGGCATACACATCACATTTCCCAACCACCTTTCCGTAAATAATATTGATTGTCTCAATAATTTTCATTTGCATAAAATTGTTGTTCGTGTGGTTTATTTCCCATCTATGTTAATTTTCCAAGTGGTTTAAAAATATCAACTCCAAATACTGTAACATTTTTACCTACATTATTAGGTAAATGTTCAATATAGGGTGAGGGGGGGATTAGTAAATTTCATTGAAATCATGAATCATTTTGGGTTAAACCACCTTCGGCAACTTGGAAGCACTAGATTGCCGTTACCTACTAGTGTGTGAACTTCTTCAACAATACTTATTGGCAACCCTGCACACAAGAACCGAACTCAAGACCTTCAGGCTTATACTTGAACTCTTAAGTTTTGCGCCACCAATTCAGCATTCAACAATGTCGATCTCTTGATGTAACGCCTGCACGTAAACACGTCAACTTGATATACGTGAACTATTACAAGTTTACCTTAGTCGGAAAACGAGAGCGAGGATCGAGGATCCGGTGACACAACATGCTACTCAAATCCGATTATCCTAACCCTCATATTTAGTAAAAAATAAGAAAACATGATATGAAGTAGAACGTGTATTCTACAAGCATCCAGAAAGTACGAGGTCCGAATGCAGAAGAGAATCAGGATCCTGGACTAGGGATCCGGGATCGAGCCCTGGTCGTGGTCGTGGTTATAAAATGTTACAGATATTGCGTATTTATACATTTTGGTCGAATAGGTAACAGCATCGAATTCTGTGGCATTGACAGTTTAGGACGATCATTTAAGAGACAACATTGAAGTATTTAACTTTGACAGTGAAAACGACCATAATTTTGACCAATCGAAATTGACCAATAGAATTTGACCAATAATAATTCTCTTAGGATATTGGATGAATATCCTAACACTTGAGTGCCTTGAAGTTTTAATTTGACAGTCTAACTAACATTATAAATTGAGTGGGTTGTCTTAATTTGTTGACTATTTTTTTTCTTACTGTTTATATTACTAAATTAATTACGTAGTAATTCATTTTATGTTTTGATATTTTTTTTCTTTTAAAAATCAAAGTTAGAAAATTGTCAACCTAATAAAGATGATTCTTGTTTGGCATTAAAATTAAATGAGTCGAAAGTGAATGAGGTTGGTTGTACTTTTGTGTAAAACTCATTCAGTGTATACTTTTTGTCATTTTTTTGTTGGGATTTTGTTACGCCTGGACGTCAACATGTCAATTTGATATTCTTGAACTATTACGAGTTTACCTTAGTCGGAAAATGAAAGCGAGGATCGAGGATTCGGCGACACGACATGCTACTCAAATCCAATTGTCCCAACCCCCCAGTGAGTAAAAGAAGACAAGACTTGATTTGAAGTAGAATCTGTATTCTACAAGCATCTAGAAAGTATGTGGTCCGAGTGCAGAAGAGGATGAGGATCCCGGACTAAGGATCCGGGACTGGGTCCTGCTCCTGGTCGTGGTCATAAAACGTTACAGATAATGCGTATTTATACAGTTGAATAGGAACCAACATTGAAATACGTGATATTGATAGCTAGGACGACCATAATATTGACCAATAGGAATTGGCCAATAGAACTAAACTTACAAATAATTCTCTTAGGATATTGGATGAAATATCCTAACAGATTTATTAACTGGGAAGATACTGTTACAAATGGAAAGCGATGAACATATTCATAACACGAGAGCACTATGTCACATTTCATATCAATATATCCTGAAACTGTTCATTGGGGAAAATAAAACTGAACAGCAAATATATTTTATGTATTCAAACACAAATATTTACATGAAAGCGCACCTAAGTAAGCATTTATGTACGGTGCAAATCAGTGAGCTTTTTTCGTGAGCTGGGATACTACTACTATTCGAGTGCTCAAACCGAAGCCAATGGTTTTATTGGACAACCACTCCATGATCCTACTGGACTTATCCACAAGCTAGTCAGTCAGTAGAACAACATCAGCCGACACTGTTGCATGATAACCGGTAACCGATAATAGGTGCGCTTGTACACCATTCGTTCCTTGAGGATGGTGAAACCTATGTCCATTGGTTTGAAATCAGGTTTTTGCAAGTTCCTTCGGTGGATTCCTCGTACTCACCTACTCATTTTAAGCGTTGGATTCCTATTTTCCTTTCAATTTCGTAAACAATATCTGCGCTATGAGAAGGCAGTGAGTAGGACTTCCCTGGAAATGGCTCTGCACCTTAGAGCACTTGGAAAGGGCGAGCTAATTCTCCCAACTCTTGACACCGTACCTGAGCATAGTAAATAGTTTGATAGAGGCGACATACAAAAGTGTATACAGTACTATGCTAGGCTTGCGCAGACATTCTGTACTTCCATACATAACTCAGTTAAATTTATTGGCATCCTGAGTTTTATACCTTAAAAACATTTTATGCTAAATAATGCTTTCTCTGTATAGACTGTCCTAATAGCCTTTAAAAGTAGATATGAAGTTAAAACGATTCAAATTTTACAGTTGTAATCATTTGCCATTTTAATCGAGTTCATATTTCATCTGATGCTCCCCAGCACTTTGCAACGGGACATAGATTATCATTAAGTAATGTTTGATTAAGGGGACTGTGAAGATTGTTGAATTTTCACTTGAAATCATGAACCATTTTAGGTCAACTCAACACAGTGAGCACGTGAATCTTACTACTCCACTCTATAGTCTCTACTCTAGGGTCTTCATCTCATGTACGTAGATCGAACTAGAATGAACACGTTATAGGGCTCGGATAGTATAGATGGTGTGGATCTCTAGATCACTGATATATAGGGTGGTGACTGAACTGTGACGTCCTTCTATTAAAGTTAGTGTAGTTATTTCCGGAAGCTCTCTCAGTGGGTTAGACGTACTAAGTGGGTGATACACTCTATACATTCTCAAATAGTCCATCTTCTCATAGTCTATCGGTCTTCGTGTTGTGAATTATCTGTTTATATATATATTCCGGTATATACCTTTTTGACATGTGTGTAATCGGGGAGCATCAGATGAAATATGAACTCGATTAAAATGGCAAATGATTACAACTGTAAAATTTGAATCGTTTTAACTTCATATCTACTTTTAAAGGCTATTAGGACAGTCTATACAGAGAAAGCATTATTTAGCATAAAATGTTTTTAAGGTATAAAACTCAGGATGCCAATAAATTTAACTGAGTTATGTATGGAAGTACAGAATGTCTGCGCAAGCCTAGCATAGTACTGTATACACTTTTGTATGTCGCCTCTATCAAACTATTTACTATGCTCAGGTACGGTGTCAAGAGTTGGGAGAATTAGCTCGCCCTTTCCAAGTGCTCTAAGGTGCAGAGCCATTTCCAGGGAAGTCCTACTCACTGCCTTCTCATAGCGCAGATATTGTTTACGAAATTGAAAGGAAAATAGGAATCCAACGCTTAAAATGAGTAGGTGAGTACGAGGAATCCACCGAAGGAACTTGCAAAAACCTGATTTCAAACCAATGGACATAGGTTTCACCATCCTCAAGGAACGAATGGTGTACAAGCGCACCTATTATCGGTTACCGGTTATCATGCAACAGTGTCGGCTGATGTTGTTCTACTGACTGACTAGCTTGTGGATAAGTCCAGTAGGATCATGGAGTGGTTGTCCAATAAAACCATTGGCTTCGGTTTGAGCACTCGAATAGTAGTAGTATCCCAGCTCACGAAAAAAGCTCACTGATTTGCACCGTACATAAATGCTTACTTAGGTGCGCTTTCATGTAAATATTTGTGTTTGAATACATAAAATATATTTGCTGTTCAGTTTTATTTTCCCCAATGAACAGTTTCAGGATATATTGATATGAAATGTGACATAGTGCTCTCGTGTTATGAATATGTTCATCGCTTTCCATTTGTAACAGTATCTTCCCAGTTAATAAATCTGTTAGGATATTTCATCCAATATCCTAAGAGAATTATTTGTAAGTTTAGTTCTATTGGCCAATTCCTATTGGTCAATATTATGGTCGTCCTAGCTATCAATATCACGTATTTCAATGTTGGTTCCTATTCAACTGTATAAATACGCATTATCTGTAACGTTTTATGACCACGACCAGGAGCAGGACCCAGTCCCGGATCCTTAGTCCGGGATCCTCATCCTCTTCTGCACTCGGACCACATACTTTCTAGATGCTTGTAGAATACAGATTCTACTTCAAATCAAGTCTTGTCTTCTTTTACTCACTGGGGGGTTGGGACAATTGGATTTGAGTAGCATGTCGTGTCGCCGAATCCTCGATCCTCGCTTTCATTTTCCGACTAAGGTAAACTCGTAATAGTTCAAGAATATCAAATTGACATGTTGACGTCCAGGCGTAACAAAATCCCAACAAAAAAATGACAAAAAGTATACACTGAATGAGTTTTACACAAAAGTACAACCAACCTCATTCACTTTCGACTCATTTAATTTTAATGCCAAACAAGAATCATCTTTATTAGGTTGACAATTTTCTAACTTTGATTTTTAAAAGAAAAAAAATATCAAAACATAAAATGAATTACTACGTAATTAATTTAGTAATATAAACAGTAAGAAAAAAAATAGTCAACAAATTAAGACAACCCACTCAATTTATAATGTTAGTTAGACTGTCAAATTAAAACTTCAAGGCACTCAAGTGTTAGGATATTCATCCAATATCCTAAGAGAATTATTATTGGTCAAATTCTATTGGTCAATTTCGATTGGTCAAAATTATGGTCGTTTTCACTGTCAAAGTTAAATACTTCAATGTTGTCTCTTAAATGATCGTCCTAAACTGTCAATGCCACAGAATTCGATGCTGTTACCTATTCGACCAAAATGTATAAATACGCAATATCTGTAACATTTTATAACCACGACCACGACCAGGGCTCGATCCCGGATCCCTAGTCCAGGATCCTGATTCTCTTCTGCATTCGGACCTCGTACTTTCTGGATGCTTGTAGAATACACGTTCTACTTCATATCATGTTTTCTTATTTTTTACTAAATATGAGGGTTAGGATAATCGGATTTGAGTAGCATGTTGTGTCACCGGATCCTCGATCCTCGCTCTCGTTTTCCGACTAAGGTAAACTTGTAATAGTTCACGTATATCAAGTTGACGTGTTTACGTGCAGGCGTTACATCAAGAGATCGACATTGTTGAATGCTGAATTGGTGGCGCAAAACTTAAGAGTTCAAGTATAAGCCTGAAGGTCTTGAGTTCGGTTCTTGTGTGCAGGGTTGCCAATAAGTATTGTTGAAGAAGTTCACACACTAGTAGGTAACGGCAATCTAGTGCTTCCAAGTTGCCGAAGGTGGTTTAACCCAAAATGATTCATGATTTCAATGAAATTTACTAATCCCCCCCTCACCCTATATTGAACATTTACCTAATAATGTAGGTAAAAATGTTACAGTATTTGGAGTTGATATTTTTAAACCACTTGGAAAATTAACATAGATGGGAAATAAACCACACGAACAACAATTTTATGCAAATGAAAATTATTGAGACAATCAATATTATTTACGGAAAGGTGGTTGGGAAATGTGATGTGTATGCCTAGCCACCGACTGCTTCGTCGAGCTTTGTTTTGTAGTGTAGGAGTAGGTTGTAAGAAAGCTAGTTGTGGTCAGACCAAAACATGGCACAAATCCATGAAGTCAATGACAACTGCACTTGTGGTGCTGTGGTGCGAACTACTTATAAGTAGTATATAACGTGAGTGTCAACGTAAAGTCTGGAAGCATAATATGGGGGAAGATCAAGAAAGGAAGAGTTAGAAAACAATGGAATTTGTATCAAACGCATGAATAGTGACAATGGATTGATGTTTGGCAACAGGAACAGTCCAGTTCGATATGATGAACTGATCTTTTGCAAATGAACGATTTACGATATGGTTTTCCGATTTTACTGAGTAACTCTGTAATTTTCGTTAAATACAATTCGGTTGCCTCCACCTGTGTTCTCATTCACTACAGACTGAGTCATGTTGGTAGTTGTCGACTACCTGGTTGGGGTCTGCGAGATGATAATAATCGATGGTTAGAGAACTTGAACGACATGGCTCAAAACCGTTTGCAATGGCACATGTGCATCCACTCTTTGTGTTCTCTCAAATCCTAATCCTCTGGATCCTTCATCCCCTTCTGGTTTCGATTTTCTATACTTTTCTCATTGAATCATACTTCTTGAATAATATCTTCTAATCCTAACCTCTCCGATTACTTCTAATACCTTTACTACCTCTACTACTATTGGATTTGAATTGACAATTACATCTCGCTGTGTGCTAATGTGGTATGGTGACATGAACTGATGTACTTCCGTACAAAGTTCTACGTTTCATCTGTCTGTCTGTCTGACAGAAAGGTATGAACAGTGAATACATCGGTGATATACGTGAGCTAGTCTTTGAATCGATAATCTCTAAAAAGACCTCGTGAAATGGATTTAAAAGGTTTACATTTCCTTTACATAACCCAGACCAGTACCTAAGGATGTGACTGGTTGGTTTTGTATTCGGTCCACCAACTCTTGGCTATTGTCCTACCTAACTTAAGTTGGTACAATCATCTAATGTCAGATGAGAGGATAACTGAATATACTTCTTAGTTACCTTAGTAGTTTGTAAATATTCACTACAGTCATTAATCATTGTTACTACCAACTGTAGACTATCCCCAATAAAATGCAGCACGATTTGGACCAATAAAACATTATTGAGATTTCGTTGATTATTTAACCAATGAGCAGTCAGTTAGGTGTTCAATCGTGAAGTTACAGGCACTATGATCAATCACAGTCATAGAGATCATTGTTTGTAAACATTTAAATCAGGAATCAATCATTTCCATTATTCTAATTGAAAAAATTGTACAATGTATTCATTCACTAGTGACTAGCTTCGTGAGGAAATTTCACGGAGTTCTAGTGCGAAGACTTGTCGGGTATAGGCAGTAACTATCGAAGACAAATGGGTGGGGTCGCGCAGAACCTTAGATTGATTAGAGTTAGACATTAACCCCGTTGAATGCCAGTCCAATGGTCCAGAGGTTATGTGTTCGCGCACAAGACCGAAGGTCTCGGGTTCGAATTCTGCGAATAACAGAAGTCGTGGATGCGCGCGGACGGAAAGGCGGTCCATTGCTTCCAGGTTCGTAATGGTGGTCTAACTATAATACTGTCGAAAGTGAAGTAAACTCAGATTTTGAGTTAGGTTCCAGAGCCCAATGAACAACAAATATGTTAGGATATTCATCCAATATCGTAAGAGAATTATTGGTCTATTCCTATTGGTTAATTCCTACTGGTCAATTTTATGGTCATCCTAGATATCAATGTCACATGATCCAATGATGTTTCTTATTGGTTGTACTGACTATCAATGTCACTTCAAATATTGCATCCTATTCGTCGTCTTAACTGTCAATGTCACAGAATTCGATGCTGTTTCCTATTCGACCAAAATGTATAAATACGCATTATCTGTAACGTTTTATGACCAGGACCAGGACCCGGTCCCGGATCGCTAGTCCGGGATCCTGAATCTCTTCCGGATTCGGACCTCGTACTTTCTGGATGCTTGTAGAATACATGTTCTACTTCATATCAAGTCTTATTTTATTTCATTATGGGGGCTGGGATAATTGGATTTGAGTAGCATGTCGTGTCACCGGATTCTCGATCCTCGCTCTCATTTTCCGACTGAGTAAACTCGTAATAGTTCAAGTATATCAAGTTGACGTGTTTACGTGCAGGCGTAACAAAATAATCGTTTAAAAAATCAACTAACATCAAACGACTTCTCCAATGATCGGTTATCAATGGGGTCTATATTTTCAGAGATGATTACAGCAGAACCGTTCTCTGATAAATTGAGTTCAACAGTGGTAGTTTTTAATCCAATCTTTTCTCGGAGTTTGTTCCATAAATCTGGTGGAAGATAATCAGCCACCATCTGATAGGCTAAATTTAAACATGCTTCATGTGACAATTGGTTGGTTGATAATAATTGAGCTTCTTTGGAGCCTATTTATAGGGTATAAAAAACAAAATAATGAAGTGTATATTGGTAATTCAATATATATTGACATAACAAAGAATTTATAAGTCAGTCAGTCAGTTGCAACGTAGAACTACGTACGTATACACATAAGTTAATGTTGCCATACCACATTAGCACACAGAGACGCAAATGTCAAATCAAATCCCATAGTGATAAAGATAGTAGAGGTATTAAAGGTAATGAAGAAGACTATGGTTTGAAGATATTATTCAAGAAGTATAATTCAGTGAGATAAAGTTAGAAAGACAAAGGTAGAGGTGCTGACAAATCCAGAAGATCAGGATTTGAGAGAGCTCAAAGAATGGATGCTCTTGCGCCATTGCGAACGATTTTGAGACATGTCGTTCAAGTTCTCTAACCATTGATGACTTTCGTCTCGTGGACCCCAACCAGGTAGTCTACATCTATCAACATGACTCAGTCCACCTGTCAGTGACTTCATGAATTTCTGCCATGTTTTGGTCTGGCCGCCCCACACCTCTCTTCCAACCTACTCCTACACCACAAAACATAGCTTGTCGAGGCAGTCGGTGGTTAGCCATACGTAACACATGTCCCAACCACCTCAACTGATTAAGTTTCACCACTTCATCTATTGATCTGCCATACTTACCTAGTACTCGTTTCCTAACGACAGCATTGCTCACTCGGTTGTCGCACGATATACGAGCAGTGGTTCTTAAACATCTATGATCGAATTTATTATGAAAGTAAACAATGAAAGTGAGAACAAACAGGTAATTTTAGCTCATAAAATGAGATTATTTCACACAATCTAAACACAAAAAGAGCATATATATATCTAAGTAAGATTATTCTTGTGTGAACAGGTGTATAAGGTCCAACACGAATTATTTTGCGCTTAACCAAATGCCTATTTGTTGACTTTCATTCTACTTAGAGGTACTAGGGGGTGTAGGAAGGATTTGATTTCGACCAATTTCGTCTCTCGCACAGTTAGCGGTATGAGGGTGGTTGTCACTTCCTGGCTTTCCACACCGTGGAAGGTTGTTTCTTGACGGACCTGATAAGGAAGGTAGATTAGTTACTGGTCCTAACGACCTGGATGCGTGACCGTAGAGCCCAGGGGACAACTGCTTGAGGACGGTCACGCACGGCCTTTTGATGAAAGGTCTTTTGAGTATTAGCTCCGCTCTTAAAGGCCCTTAGCGGGTACCCTTACCGCCGAAGACGGAAATCCGCGGGATAAGATGGTGTGACATTTTTAGAGTCGACCTTCTCTAACCCCTTCCTTCCTTGTGGGAAGGCAGCATTACTGCAGAAGCTGGTTGTCCAAGGGAAACACCTTACTGCTGTCACACCCCTCCACAGTCAGTCAGCAGTATGACTTCGCCCCCAGACCTTCAGTAGCTGATCTAAGTCTCATCGTTCTCCAATCGACCTGCCTGGCATGGTAGGACCTGCAGGAACATATGTTCCAGCCAGTACAGTTCGGTTGGGTCATCACGATAGGCAAGCCCGACCACCACGTCAAGGTAGCAGCTACGGTCGGGACAGCAATTAGCAGTCAAACACCATGACAATTGTTCGCTTATATCAATACATACAGACAACTAAAGACATACATTCCATTGGAATAATGTGGAAGTACTGGATAGTGGGAGCACAAAGAACACTAGAGAATTTTTCGGAAGCTTGGCAATTACGTCAATCAGCAATCAACAAACACATAAAGATTGATCTAACTTATCAACCAATCGAAAAAATCATAGGCAAACATAGGATGAAGAAATAGATCAAAGGGAGATACAACCAAAATGGAGGTGCAAACAATGACAGGTATGAGCTCAATGACAACCAATCAATATCGAGGTCAACAGAATAAACTACGAGTCATACGTGGAGAAATTTGAATACTTCACTTCTGTACCTGAAGTTTGTGCCGATGATGTTGTCTTCAGTAAGCTCCACAACCAAAACATCCAACTCAGAGAGAACGAAACCCCAAACAGTCTTTTAGAAGTATTTTTCTACTGTGATCATGTAAAGTACGTACCACTCACTTGTCTCATTTGAGTAGCCTAACTGTTACAACATATTAGGACAATACTATCTATATATTGTGGGCTTATATGTCTTTCTTTATATAACAGCTCTACACTAAAAAAAACTAATTTTTACATTTATTTCGACGTTATCATCTATAGGGAAAATTAAATATCAAAGAGATATTGATTAACGCTGGTGAACACCGTAGGTTAAGAATAGTGTTATACACGTTTAATATATTGTGAAGCTTTCATTCAGTTTTAGTGATTTGACATAGAAACTTATCAGTTACATATGAAATTTTAATAGCTCATTCTTATCTGAAGTTATTGCCGATAATATTTCAGGAAAAGGAATGAGCAGCTTACGAAAATAAACTAACTAGTTTAGAGAACTCAATGACTGAAGTTACCGTGAACAACAAATCGTTAGCTTAATTCTACTCAAATTTCGTAGTGCTCTAATTTTACTAATGAATTTGGAATTTGTACGTTCAGATAAGTGGTTTCGAAGTAGTCTTGTTGGATTAGTCACATGCAACCATGAATTCGAAAAATATAACAGTTGTTGGATTGAGATGTATATTCATCAACTTCACTAAACAACACAATTTGCCGAGATTTCTAAAGATTGTTAACTCGTAACAAACATACTTTGAGGAGCTTTGTCTATTAAACCGGTCAGTTCGATTGAATTGAACCAGAATATTAGTTAGTTGTATGAGCTGTAGTAACGAATTTGGGGTAAGTAATGTCTAGGTTTGGATACACTGAAGGAGGTTTGACTTCCTTGTTGATTATCGTATATTTGGTCGGGAGAGTATTGATTGAAAGAAAAATAGAGAAAGGGAGCTCCAAACCATAGTTAACAATTTGAAAAATAATTATTTATGGACCAAACAATGAAAATTTTGAAGCAGTCTTACTCGAGGTAAATTCTGGAACTCTTGAATCATTATTTATCTCATCAGTATGATTAGAAGACGAATTAGAAGCAATTAATCGAAGCTGAGAAATTAAAACAGGATCCTTGCAGTTGAAGGAAGCATTATAAACAGCGGATACTCTATTCGACAACCACTCGATCGCCCGAGATTCATTGTACCGATAAACAGATAAGTCACCAATACCTTCAAGAAACAAAGAATCGAAATATATATGTATTGTCAGTAAAAGTTGGTAATTTGTAAAAATTTATGAATTCAAACTGCTTCCCTGATTTACTTTATAAATACACTTCAGTTTCCTCTTAAAACAATGCCTGATTTCCACAAACTATGTAACGCATATTCTCGGTTGGTCGTTACGTTTAGTACGGTTCATACTTTTGATTACAGACTTAACTGCACATCAGAGATTTCAACTCCAAATGTTACTACGTTTCGTTACCACATCGTTCATTAATGAAAACAAGCAGAAAATTGAACAGGTGGCTTCCATTAAACCATGCGGCTTTAATTACTGTATTTCGGAATTCAATGCGTATAATCTGATTTATGCAGCTATGTAGAATGACTAGACCTAGCAAACCTGAGTATCTGAACTTGCAATCAATTGCTCTGTAGCAGACGGAAAAAATAATACTATTATCATTCTTTCACTATTACTTCCGGTCAATATTGAAGGAAAATACTACATAAGCGCGTGCTGTGACAAAAATTTAAATAAGCGTGAGATTTAGTTCACGACGAATTAAACGCTCAAGAACGTAAAAAGCTTAAAGCGTAAGTAACATCGCCAGAGTCGAAAAAACGCTAGGATCAAGAGAAGACTCACATTTTTTATCGCAAATTTCCTCGAGACGACGTTCCATGTCGGGAATGTTGCTGAGAACATGGAAACATTCACCAAGTTCACTCAAAATAACCTCCCATGAAATAAACTTGTCCTATGAATATAGCTGTTAAATCTCAAAAGACAAACTTTTTTTCTGCAGAATGATATAAAGAAGAAAAGGGGATCAATTCGACTACAAACATGCATTCCACCATCTTCATATTACAAATATAAGGATAACTATACCAGACTTGACATGGTCACCGATAATCCAGGAACGACATTTTCCGTTTATTTTCTGGATTTCGAAAAGCTCTAAAGATTGACTATCCCACAGATATAAACATGGTTCATCTAATAAGGTTTCGATGGACAATTCGATGCAAAAAGAAAATAAACCCTACCTGATCTAGGATGTTTTAGCGTAACTAGAGAACACTTTGAAGGTTGACAGATAAGATTTTCTATCAGTGTATATGATAACTTTGAGCGAGTGTACCTGGTACCAGGAACACAGAACTATGGTCGTGCATCTTAGTGTAGCACACCAGCTCAACTGATGCGCTACATCAAGTGCTTCCTGTTTTCAATATGGAAAAAGGCTTCAACTTGAAATTACGAAGAAAGAACGCTTTAACCTCAATGCTAATACAGTCCATAACTAACTCTTTTTTGATTTCAGTTCACAACTCATATGCCTATAATAAGGGGCTGTTAATATATTTTGAGCAAGTTCAAATGACATATATATTTGTGGAGGTAATAGATGATTTCACCTACATGTAAAGAGCTACGTATATTGGACGAACTAAAGAGAAATGACATTGAGTTTTGAAATTTTTTTGAATGTATCAGGCTAACTAATGGATTGTTGGAAAGTTATTTGGACCATTCCAGACGATAGCGAATTTCAGGACTTCATAACTTGCAAAAATTAATGGATATGCCTAAAGCCCAGCTCCGGTATTGCATTTAGAAAAAACCTAGGTCTTTGTAAAGTAGCATCCTATTCGCATATTTTGTTATAGCTAGATTTTCAGTGATCAAAGGCGTTTATCAAATGATGTGAATTTTGTGGTCCACCTTCTGATGCTAAATTTAAAAAAGTTGTGCTGTCAGATTAGTCAAATGTCAACTTCAGATTTGTTTTATAAGGAAATTTTCCATAGGTAATGCAAAATTTTAGACCTCAGAGTACTAAGATACTGTACTGTGTGCGAACATGGCTAGCCTAAACAGGCTGTCCTACCTTTTGGAGAGATTAATCCACTAATTCTTCTCAATTCACATGTCTTTTTACCTTGTAGTTATTCTCTTACAAACATGTTGTTTTTATTTGTGCGCTTATGCACTACTTACTTCGCTTATCTTATATCTTGCGTATCTTAGACACCTTGAAAAACTGACTGAAAGTCTATTGTTCATCGATTAAGCTCATTACTGCCCAGCGCTTTTAGCCTACCATGGGGCTTGAAAACTTCTCTATAAAGTCCAATACTGTAGGTCAAAGCTTCTCCTCTTCCGTCCGTAACCGTGAGGGCCATTTGATTTAGACAGTACTACTTGAAGAGACCTGTTCATACAAATTAAGAAGGCATCCAAATATTACATGCTAAACGATTTCCGTAAGTTCTTGTATAATCGCTGGATGTGCAGATTTTACCATGACCTTCATAAGTCAGTGATTTAGATGACTCAATCCAGTCCATCAGCCTGAGCCTGTCGATGAGTCATGTGTAGCTAATTCTGTCAGAGCTTCCGATGAATTAGTTGACATATCATCTAGCATCCCTTTGCCACCGACGTTAATGGGCCATCTGTCCACCTCAGTCTGCAGACTAGTGATGCCAGCTTGAAACAGCTTCTTTAGGGAAAAAGAAGCCTACAGAAAACAAGTAGGAGTATGGGCCACCTTATGTCAAGGTGTTATCAACTTTAGGACATTTTAGCAGCCGATTATCTGAAGATTCGTTGCATCAGCCTCCTGTGAAATATGCCATGATATCTGGGACCTCATCATGGCTGGGCGAATATGAAAAAATCAGTATATTAGAGTAATCAGTTTCCGGGGCGGGAGAAGTACCCTTATTCAGATACTTCAGTTTCTTGTAAACTAGCCGATACTTGGGTTCACTTCCGAGAAACCAGTCCAGTTTCGAGCGGAGCACACATCAATGTGGGCCGGATGGGCTAGTTAGAAGGTTTGAAATGTTTATCTCATCAGGAGATCTTTGATATCAGGGTCATTCTTCGAACTGAATGTTGTGCCTCGTCAAGCAGTGCTCTAGTTAGACAAACCTCAACCCCGAATGACTAAAGTGGAATTCTGTGGTTCAGGTATTGGTAGACATACGCGTCTATTTATACTGATCACAAATAACACATATTTTCGTGAGTTTTATCCTGTATTCAGTCCGATAGTATATTATTTTTTTCAGTACCTCAACCTACTCCATACATAACAGCTTTGACAACTGCTGACGACTATGTTGCTTTATCCAGGAGCCTGTAAAATTATTGTCCGGTGAATCTCAACAAGATCACTACACACTTACATGATCACTTCTTGTTATATTCAGAGCTGGATTTACCTTGCACTGGTTCTCAACCAGTAGTGACTTGTCAAATTTCGACCTTTGTAACTCAAATGAGCTGTCAAATTGTACAGTCTAGATTCTGAAACATTATTCTTATTATTATAGAAAGATTGACGAGTTATAAACGGGGGACAATAAGTCCAACATGTTAGGTATGTAAAAATATGATAATAAATATATGTATTAGTCTATCAGGTTTATTTTTGTGGCAAAAATAAACGAAACAGGATATTATGTGTGTAAAGAAGAACGTAACACTCTTCAGGCTAAAAATTAACCCTATGGATATATCAAGTCAGTGAGGTCGTTGTAGTGGGTTTTGGTTCTGGTCTTGTCCAAGATCACGATGGAGCAGGAGGGTTTAAGTACTTGCTCTTGTCTGATATACTGAAGGTAAAATGAATACGAAGAAATGTCCTAAATCATAACTTACTCAGTGACTATCCAACTCGGTGTCGTGAACTTGGGCTTGGTCCATTATGGAAAAGAAGGCTTAAGTCCAATCTATTCCTTCACTTTAAGCTCCTGCACAAGCTAACATACTCCTCTTGTAGTGTAGTCCCTATTCAAGGTCCATGTATAACGAAACTTCGAGATAAAGTGTCTACGGTCAAACTTGAGAAGTGTAAAAAAAAACTAAAAAAACTTCTTCCTCACTAAGTATGCACCGATATGAAGCTCTCAGTTGCACTGAATCTTCTGAACGCGTGAACTCAGTCACACCCTGATTCCACATTCTTAACTCTGCATCACCCAAGAAGCCTACTGTGCACCTTCCATATTTATATTCACCTATTGGAAATGAGGCTGTATTAGGCTGTTCCTGTCAGTGGCCATCAGAAACTCACTCTTATACTTATTCTAAATGAGATATCTTTGCATGACCCTAGTAACATACTGTTATTTGAGAATAAATATATTATTATAAAGTAAAGAAGTGCATACTCATTTTATATGTTTTAAAAATCAATTATGCGATAGGCCAGTATGTCACATCTCCATAGAAAATAACCCTTTTGATTATTTCCGCCATAAATAAACTTTATTTTATTTTCCATTGCCGGAGAGTTGGTTACTAGAAAGTAGGGCTGTTTTTGATAAAGTTCAGTCGGACATAGCGTGTAAGGCTTTGAATGCACAGTACTCTGTATCGAAAAAATTTACTTCAGTGAATATTGATTTGGGAAACAGTATGGCAAATATACGCCCCTTGCTCAGTCAAAATTAAAAATGTGAATTTCTTGGTAAAAACGGTTCTATTAAAAATAAAAAAAGAAATACAGATAATTACCTAAACAAGACGATACTGTCCTGATCCGAAATTACCACAAAAATTTCTTAATTCTGGAAAAATGCGTCGTTCCAGTCAAGAATACGAAGTTGCTACAAACGTATAAAATCCGACATGGCTGAAGCTATATGAAGTATCAATTTAAACAACACATTCACAATTCAGAAGTAAACATATAGACTCAAGTACAGAAATTGGGAAACATAACAAAATACAAATATTAATATCCCAAATTGGGACTATCAGAGTACCAAAATATTGAACAGAAAGAATCAGTCAGATCATAACACAAATATATAAACATGGAGAGGTTTTCCAAAAACAAAGCCTTCAAAATAGATTCCACAGACACTGGAGCACATAATTCAGAATATTATCCGAAAAGTGAGCCACAGGTAAAGCAAAAAGGTTAGAAATATTATATCCTGGTTTTAGAAGGTAACGGGATACTTAATGGATACAAAATGGAAGCCTACAAATCTGAGTTCGTGATTTTTCATATGACATAACAAAAAGTATCGTGCAAACATAGAGATAGAGAAACTTTTCGAAATCAACTTTATAGGTCAATGAGTGCAGGAAACTACAGGCGTGGAAACTCTCCAAAATCTAGCTCCAGCCAGATAAACAAGTGAAAAGAAAGTATTTCATGAAGCCGAACACAGATCGGAAAGACATATTTCGTACATCTAATCATCTCTTAGCATGTTACAGAATATTCTGTGAACCAAAAATAGCGACCTGTACAAGTCCGTGGAAGATTTTGACACAGTAATCTATTTGTACCTAATAGCGAGGTTCGTGACGGGCTTCACTGACTGATTTACATCTTGGCCCCAAAACGACCAGGAGAATAGGAAATTTCGCACCATGATAAAAAATGTGCATGCAAACTGGTTGAGTTTCTCAGTGGACCGTTCACTCATCTTCCTCACGTTTACTAATACTTTGTAGGATGAAATAATCTTAGTAGGACACATCTGTGCAGATGGTGCAACGAGGATTCATGGGAACTTTGAAAGGACCTTACGGTGACAGATAAAGGGACAGTAGAGAGTGGGTTAAAACCCTAAATGCCAAAACGTCATATCACGACGATGGGAAAAACAACCAGCTCAGAGAACTAAACATCACCAATATCATCCATCTGAGCTACAAATTTTCTCCACCATCTCGATGAGAAATATAAAAAATACCCCAAGTCACCGCATGCAGGGGCGTCCTGGTGGTACAGGTCCACCGTGACCCTTGAGATGATCCTT